AGACTGGAGGGTATGGTAAAACTGGAATACTCTGTTTCAGTGTAGGGATTACGCGAACTGCATCACAGCTGAAGGATAACATTTGATCACTTGGGACTTTTCTTCAGCAACAATTGTAAGTATTTGACCACATTTGGTAAAATAGGGACAGTGGCTGCATTGATCTTCCGCTACAATTTCCTCCAAACTAATATTTCTGCCTAAAAATGAAAAAATTTAAAACTATTTTGACATATTTATCCCATGGTGTTACAAAAAAAAATCTCTTAAAAAAATTTCATTTCCATGTTTATCTTGAGTTGTAGAAGTTGTATTAGTAATCATGGAATTTATGTAGGAGTCTATAATTATGTAAATATTACCTTGTTCGTGAATATGTTAAGCCAAATAGCTGTCTTACTTTTGCTCATTCAAGGTAAACTTTTTTCCATTGCCTCGTCAAGATCTATAAATACTGTCAGTTTATGATCCTTTAACATGAATGAGTCTAGTACAGTACAGGCAGACAGGTAATGTCTGAATGTATCATCAAAATCAGGATCTGATTCAGGGATTTGAACTCGGCAGCACTGTCTGTCATACATCAACACATGCTTCCTGAATAGTCACTCGCTAAGGGAAACACACTTATAATATATATCTAACGTATAGAAATGATAGACTTACCTTTGTTAGCCATAGCCATTGATTATATAATAACTACAGCCCGTGAGTGAGTCCGATGCGACCAACAGATATGGTGAAACCGCAGAAAAACGCTGGGAACTCGAGTGGGCGTTTACGGATCAAGTTGCCGCAATGAAGCGTATCGCGTCAGACAGTACTCATCGGTCAAGACTTTAGTTGCGCATCATGGTATGTTAGTCGTTGCTTGTGCCCCTGCCTGTTCACCTGTATCTTATTGATGAACAATATAGGTTCAATATATCGTATATATAAACAATAAGCTATACCGGTTGCAGTTCTAGGTACGGTAAGTCATGGCTACTTCCCACAAGTAAATCGCTATTTGCAACTGTGTTGCGATCATAGCGTATTACTGTATGTCTAGTAACGCGTGGCTTCCAATACACTACCTTTACTCATAGCAAACGACTTCAGCTAATAGTGGAGTAGTAGCTTTCCACCAAAGCCCTTCCATTATTTTACTCAATTCAGCCTGCACAATTGGGGTATACCCTTTTAGCCTCAATACAGGCCGAATGTTAATTACATGTAATTTTTATTCCGCGATGTTGGTTGTTCAACTTTGGCTTCTCTTCCCCAGTGAAATGTGTATTAAATAATACTCTTTTGAACTTTCGTCTTTGTTGTGTCGTGAACTCGAAGAATAGACGATGTTTGTAGATATTCAAAATGTATTACAGAAACACACAGTCATTGACTGAACGAACCATCAACAAAAGAAGAAGGGCGAGAGAGAAACCAAGGTCACCCATGCATGAAATAATGGGAGCCATAATACATTATGCCACATTTCCCCCTTTGAAAAAGAAATATGTACATAAGCAAAGTACAAAGCAAGCATAAATCACATTTGGTAATCTCTATGCCATTTTGGAGATACACGCATTCTAGAACTTTTACGAGGCAATTCAGAATTAACAGTGTCAGAATCATCATTAGCAGTGTTATCAACATCAGGTATCACAGTATCCTTAGAATCAGGTAAAGTATCATTTTGTACAGAGTTAGGATTAGCAGATGGAGAAATTTTGGATTGATTCCATATACGACCATCACTTGTAGAAAATGTAGCAGGACCATCCGACCATGATCACTAGTAATATGTACAGGTTCCCCGAACTTCATGTGTTCGTGTGAAGCAAGATTCTTGAATTGAATAGTATATTCTTTACCTGCATTTTGTTTCTTCATAACATGTTCATACACTTTTTTACTGGACCAGTCTTTCATCATATTATGAATTCCAGGAATATCAAGACCGGTTCTTTTTGTCTATTGTGTAGCAGAACAGAAGGAGAATGTCCAGTATATATAAAGTATATATAAAATAGTTGAATTGGATCTATCAACACAGCTGTACATTCAGTAGAGCAGTTTTCACAGCATTTCCGAATACAGCATTCCAACGTTCAATTTCACCAGATGCTTGGGGATAGTAAAGTGAAGAGTAACTATGTTTAATATTTATTTGAAGTAAAAATTCTTCAAACATTTGTGATCAAACTTGTACACCATTGTCGCTGACAATTTCATTGCAGTAACCTTCTTTGCAAAAAACAGTTTTCAAGAATTTTATCACAGTAGGTGTATCCACTTTCGAAGTAAACATAACTTCAGGCCATTTGCTGTAGTAATCAATCAATGTAATAGCAAAACGACAGTCAGCAGGAGGACTTTCATTCGGACCAACAATGTCAATACCCAGCATTTGCCAAGGTTGTTTAGTCGAAGGAACAGGTTTCAATGAATGAATACAGGTTTAGTAGATTTATCATGAGTATTGCAGACAGAGCAATGACGAATCATGTCTTCAACTTGTTTATACATACCTTTCCACCAGTATAGATCACGTAATATTTGTTTAGTAGAAACAATTCCTTGATGTGTCATGTGTGCAAGGTTAATCCACTTTGTAGTCAGAGCATTAGAAACAAGGATTCATTCACCTCGAATTATCAATTCTTTGTAAACTGTTAGCTCTTCACGTACATAGTAAAATGTTTGTAGAATCAACATCTTTTTTGTAATGCCATCCATTACAAATGTAAACTTTCATTTTAGAGAGTATAGCATCATTACGTGTAGCTTCGTGTAATTCAAATAATGAAATGGATAAATCAGTATTCGTAGTATTCAGAAAATTACACACAACATCATCTTCGCAATCAGCATTTTCAGTAGAATTCAAAGGTAATCTGTATAATTGCAATGTAGCAAACGAGCATTCTATCGAGCATTTCTCATCGATTGTCGAGTATTTCCTTGAGATGTAAGCAAAGTAGAAATAGCTTGATGATGAGTTTGCAGCTTAAATTTTCCCATCAACCCATTTTACAAGCGCCAACTCGCAAAAGCACTCTTAAAATAGCCCCGAAAATTTTGCAATGGTATGTAATTATGGGAAGAATTTAAGTCGGGGAAAGGTCCATATATAAAAAAAAACTACAGTATGGTATGTTAGTAGTTGGTATATCCCAAGTCGTTGGTATATGCATATGATAATCTAATCAGAAACAGAATAGCCCTACCGTGTTTCCCCGAAATAGAACCTACCCTGAAAATAAGACCTAGCTTGAATTTTAAGGAATGATTTTAATATAAGCCCTCCCCTTAAAATAAGACCTAGTCAATAACGCGATTTTTTTAACTGGTCGATAGCAAGAAATCTCTTCCATACGTTATAAATGATTAATCTAAAACGTGTGAAAGAGGAAAACGTGTCATTTAAGTAAATGGATATCGGTTTCAATATTTTTTATATTTGAAAATCACCTTATTCTTTCTAATTCTGTTTTTGATAAATGAAATTATAAGATATTCCCCGAAAATAAGCCCTAGTGGTATTTTTCGAAAAAAGATTGAAATAAGTCTTATTTTAGGGGAAACACGATAAATGCTACTACAAAAAGATAATATTGTATTTTGACGGACTTTGGAGTATGGTATTTTGGTACACCGTGAGTATAAAATTGGAACCCAGGTTATTTTTAGACGATAACTCGTGAGTAGGTGAGTCATCGCCATATGGTGTCTGAATCGGAGGCATTATCATGGTCACTCAACCGTGGTGAGAGATCTCGGATGCAAATGTTTATTTCTGGGAATGGGATCAAATCAAATTTGGATGGGAACTAATCAACTATTAATTCGATCAATTGGCAAAAAAAAAAAAAATTCGATCAGTTGGCAAAAAAAAAAGAGATCTCGGATATCCTTATCCATTTCTATACAAGTAGGTATATTGTATTCAGAAAATTATAATTTCGGCTCTCTTATTTATTATTAAGACAAGATTTTGTATGTGATGTTTATTCGAATGAGTGTATTGTTATGGCACTTTACGCAAAACAGAAATTGGCAGAGAGAAGGTTTGCATCGTTACCGTACCGGTACCGGTAACGGTACCGTTTATCAATATACAGAGGTACCGTATCTGTATATAGAATATTGGTATTAGGTTACGGTGGTATTAGGTTACGTGAATTTGGAATGACTATTATCATTATATACCGTACCGGTACCGGTAGTTAGTAAATCTATAAGTTCAGCAAGAACGCTCGTTTTAGAATTTGATGTACCGGGATAGGCTTTTCATGTTTATGCCATGGAGATAACTTCAGATAAGAGTAACTAAGAGTTGATAAAATGACTTAATGCTGTAGAGATAGGATAGGATTTACAGGTACCGGCTCATTTTCTTTACAGTTTCCCGTCTAACCGAAAGCCAGCTTAATTATATCTTGGTGAACCACGGATTCTCTTAGAGCTGTAATGTTACTGTACCGGTACGGTACCGGTACCCTACCAGTCCATGTCGGGTAGGGGGTTACGGAAACGTGGACTTGACTACGATGGCGAAGTGTTCAGCGCAATCTTCTCGCACATAACTATCCACACATGGGATTCAAACTTGCAAAACTAGGTCTCAACCCAATCAGAGGTTTTGGATGAGCGTATTTCTACCACTTACGGTAACACGATCTGACAATGCACCAGACATAATAGTTTATTCCCATGGGATTTAAGTCTACGCAGGTCGTCCATGGGAATGCGAGGTCTGAGGTAGTGTGTTCTAATGATTGGAACAACGCTGCAATGTACCAACCTTCAAGCCTTTCTGTGAGACACACTGGATTTAAATGTGAAATGTACATAAGAGAAAATATTGGAATCTCAGTGTTAATTTACCATTTTTAGTTCATAAAATGTAACAAATTTAAGATATTTTTAAAAACTTAAGAAATATCAGTTGTGAGGTTGAAAACTATATTTGTGTGTCTGTTACATTTATGCTTTTGATAAACTTTTTGATATTATAGGATTATGTTAACGTAACATAATAGTATTTAGATCACATACATTTTATACTAAATTCGTCACTGGGATAACGTTACGTAAAAAATAGAGATTCCAGAGTTCGAAGATTTCGATTTCAAATATATGGATATATCAAATATTTTATAAATTATCAGCAAAGAACAGTGAATACTACTTTCAAACTGGTTTAAATATCCAACCTTTTAAAACTCATCAAACACGTGGAAAAACTAAATAATATTCATATATTTTGACTTATCAACACTATGCCTCCATTTGTGAGGGTAAAACTGGTTAAGACGGAGCCAGGACCTAATTTTGTTCAGAATGGGGAACCATTTGATCCGTTTGTTGCAGTGAACGTAAAGGAGTGTATTTTCCAAGAAGGTTTGTAATTATTTAGGTCTTTATTTATTTGTTATCAAATCTTTTGTCGCGTTTTATATTGATTGGGGAGTCGAATATGTTAGGGTTTCTCAAAATCTTCCATTTAGTTTAATTATTACAGGATTGTAAGACTCATTAAACACAACGCAGGTAAAAGCTTCTTCACCTAAATTATTTCGACCTGTTGTCTCCGCTGTTATTCAGCCTCATCTTGAGACCGTTTCCAGTTGAAGCTTGGGCTGTCGTTAGCCCTTTTATCTTTACAATAAATTTATGCTAAAGTTTCATAACTATTTCTTGATAGATACATATATTCAGGATAGGATAGGATTTACATATTTATCCTGGGGGAGAGGAAAGCCGATAAGACGGCTTATCCATATGGCGAACCACGGCCTCTCGTCCGGTTACCATTCCAAGTCGGGTATGGGATTAGTTTTACTGTATTGTTTGTTTTCGGAAGCACGGACTTGGTGGTGGATTTTTCTGTTATGGTATTGCATGCTAATTTTTTAAATCATTGTACACTGTGTGAGGTAGTTAGTGGATATGGGGTCTGAACTCTATTTTTTCCAGTTACATAGTTAATTCCAATTGTATAGTTCTAATGCTCTAACTACTAGGCCAGTGTTTTTCAACCTTTGTCTTTATTAAATTCCCTATTTCGCCTATTTTCCAACTCTTTTTTTTCTCTCCTAGTCCTAAAAACTATTCCATTTGTTCAATCTTTATTAGATCTTTAGCTGGTGTTATGTACAAGTCGTGCAAGTTTTTTACATTTAGGTTTGCATAAATGAGTACTATATTAAATAAAGAAATAAAAAATGTTAGTAATTCTACCCAAATACGAAGCTAAATTGCCCCAAGAACGACAAAATCACTCTCTGGAAGGGCATTGGGTCGGGAAACATTGTACCCATATATGTAACAAAAAAACGGCTTTTTTTCTTTATCCGGTTTCTTATTTTCTGATCTCATTTCTCCCAGGTCGTGGAAGTCAGTTAGTACAGAAGAAGAAAACTATTTATCCAGAATGGAATAGTTGCTTCGATTCACATTTGAAAGATGGCAGAGTTATACAGGTGAATATATGTATATATCAGTTCTGTATTCTGTAGTATTCAGATATTCTACAATTCACTTTATTTAGAATGCTATTGTTATAATCTATATCCAGATTTTATCATTTTGTCGAATAAAACTGATTTCTAATCTCAATTTGATATCTGCCCCCTCCCCTTTGGTATGATATTATTCTCTGACCAGAGATGCGTAAAACTGAATAAAGTATTATTATAAATTTTGAAGAAATATTCTTGCTGGTATCGATGATGACGAAATGCTGTTTAAATTGCCATGTTCAACTGAGAACAAGTAAAAAATGATGTGTAGCCTTTAAGATTGAATTATGTTGGAAGTTAGTTGAGCATGATTTAGACGGGCCACAGCACAGCAAAACTATTCTCTGTTTACCAAGATAATTAAACAATTGTTGTGACTGAGAAATAGGATTAACACCCCAAAATGATAATTTACATATCAATCCAGGAATTTATAATCAGGTAAAATATACTTCCAATCTCCACCCTTTGACATTTAACCCAAGAGGTGCGACTATCTATTCAGATTGTGACTCTACAAAGGCCCAACAAGATGCTGGCTGAGTGCAATATAGGATTACAAATACTTGCTGATAAATGTAAGAAACAAAGCATGGGAGGAGCAGGAACAGATGTTTGGGTGAGTTGTTGTATCCTACTGTGAATGGATAGATGTTTTCCCAAGCAAAGATTTCCTCACCTATTTTAAATTTATGCCGCCTCTTATACACTGCTCTTGCTCAGACAAATAATCAAGCATGTGTGTAAACGATGCCTCAATATACGATTGTAGTTTTGAATGTTAGAGCAGCGGTTCCCAAACTATGGGTCGCGACCCACTGTTGGGTAGCAAAAGGAGTCTTAGTGGGTCGTGAAAAGATGTGGAAAGCTTTGATTAATTATACTGGGTATTAGGATCGGTGCCGACTCGAATACGTAAATCTTCAAAAAAAAAAAAATTAAATTAAATTTAACTTCTAATCTCTTAAAGTTTCCTTTTGCCAATCTTCTCAGAGGAACAAAATTTGCTACACAAAGAATGACCATGTGAATTTTTTACGCATAGCAGTTTTGTACACTGTACAGCATGCACTTCTTACCGTGTTTCCCCGAAATTTAGACAGGATTTAGATTTATTTTTAAGAATAACTCTAGTTTTCTTTGGAAGAGGCCTTTTGGGTTCATTTATCAAAAATAAGATTACATTGTAGAAAATCACGAAATTTTAATGAACATTATATAAAAACCGACATCCATTGTTTTTATTTGTATTTCCTATACAAAAATCAAGTGACAAATATCATAATTGTGATATCACACAATCTTGAATAGTGGTGTGATCTTCACCTTACCTCAGGCCAATGAACCTTTCCTCTCCCACACATTTTAAATTTTATTTTATTGGTAGCGTTTAATTAAAATCATTTTAAAAATTTGACTTAGGTATTATTTTCAAGCCAGGTCTTATTTTTGAGGAAACACGGTAGTTTTGCGATGATTAGCCATTGCTGTGTTTTGTGTTGTGTCAATTTGTTTCCTCCATCAATGTTTTATTAAAGTTAAATGGGTCGCCATAAGCTGTGGTAATAAATAGTGGGTCGCAACTCTAAAAAGTTTGGGAACCACTGTGTTAGAGGGTATTTTTTTGAAACCTCTCTAAAGGCAAATTGTAGGGAGGAAATCTGAAAAGCGTGAATTCAAATCAATTTGGCACAAACTGAATTTTCATAACGTCATACATATAAAAGGGGACTATTTGTTTGAACTTGCGCTAGTTTGTTTATTTATACATATTATCTTATCATCATTCTTTCAGATTAGAGTTGAGGCCTTGATAATTTTTTCCTATTTTTTCTTTTTCTTTTCTTGCTCTATCTATATCCACTTGTGTCCTTTCCATATCATGCCCTGATGAAGTTTTTCTGTATAGAAATTCAAAACGCCGGCAAATTACATTGTTTTGCTAACACCGGTTGTGCTTCATTCATTATCAACATGAGTTTACCTGGTGGCAATCATGCACTAGTCATACATATAAATTTAACACACATATAAATATAGGTAGAGTACCACTGATCTGATCTATTTGCATATAATCCCACCCTTTTGACTTGTGTGGGATTTTGTGTGTACCGACGTTACAATTTGTTCTTCTTTTCTTTGTTTTTAAATTCTATATTTAGCTTCGAGGTGGGCGTCTGGGAATGTGCGAAGTTATTCATGTAATGTTTCTGGTGATTGGACATAAATGAAATAAGTTTAATATTAGAGGAAAAATAACGTTTGGAACTTGTTCCCATCTCTTCTGTCTAATTTTATTATCATTCCAAACTTATTTTGTTCAATTCCTCCCAGCTATTTTGAAACCCTTTATTCTACCCTTACTATGCATGGAAAGCATTTTTTAGAATAAATCCCCCCTTTTGTACTGTTTAGGTGGTTTATAATGTGTGCATGAATAAGTGTTACAGTAATAATAAAAAACTGGAGAATATTAGTAATATTACAGCAAAATTTCTCCCCGGTTAGGAGTTAGGATACATGGCTTTAAATCTTCGGTCATGTATTTAGGAGTTTGAATGTTATATATGGAAACATTCAGCTGAAGTATATGGCGGTATCTAATATTACAGCAAAATTCCTCCTTAGAATGGCAAAATTTCATCCCAGGATACATGGCTTTAAATCTTCGGTCATGTATTTAGGAATTGGAATGTTATATATTGAAACATTCAGCTGAAGAATATGGAGGTAACTAATTTTGTTCGCCTACTTTACATCAAGTTGTGTAAAAGGGACTGAAACCTATGGGCAGGGGGATATTCACTTGGCTAACACAGACAGTCCCCGATCTCGTAATAGAACTAAAATAAGGAAAATCAGAATAGGATTATGACCTAACCCAAACTTGGTACACTTATTACGGGAGTAACGAAACATTCAGCAGAAGTAGGGTAAACGTAAAGTACCCTTTATATATATATGCACGAGTCATCTAACGTAACACTCAAGGCTTTTTGTTTATTGTGTAACCAATGTTATGCATTGTTCTTAGTATCACACAATGGCAGGGTTTTCCTTCTTTATTTTCGTATACCATTTTTCGCCTACTATTGGTTATTGGTTATATTGGATCAAATCCTATTGTCAATATTAGGTATCTGCATTATATACAATACCCAACTTTTTGATTTACTCTAATAATTTATTGACATATATAAAAAGTTTCTTAATAACTATTAGATTACTGAAATAAAGTTTCTAAATATTTCAAAATTCTAAAATACTGTCAAAGGCTCTATGTAATCCTATTTAAATTGCACTAGTACAGCTGTAATGTGTTTATATTCACATTTATCAAGCCATGGATAGATGTCATGAGTACTCTTATACAAACGTATAAATAATTTAAAGTATGAAATTTGATTAAAGTAATATAAGCATAGTTTTATGTTTTCTGTCTATGTCATTTTAGGCTCTTCTAAAGAGAGATAGATACATGAAAATATCCCAAATATGATTTTTAAAATACCTAAAATGTTTTTAAAGGTTACTAATATACTGTGAAAGTTTGAAAGTTATCGTATGACTTACGTAGTTTTTTTGTCAAACAATATTCACACTCAGAAACGCTCTGCAATGGTGTCATGTAGGCCGCCACATTAGTTGGCACTACTTCAATTTCATCGCAGTAATCAAGACATTTTGATGTTATTTACTAAATTGCTAAATTCAAGTTTTGGTAATTTGAAGATTTAATTTGAAGTTATATCCTACATTTAATACAATTATTTAAATGCAATTTACTGCCTACAATTTTCACAAAGTTTTAAAATCATGTGATATAATTCTTCATATTCTATTTTTAATACAATTGTAAAAGGCTTTCTTATTGAACATTATTCACAATCTACATTAGCAAAGAGTGATAGGTAAGCGGCATTGATGATTTATACCAAGTGGCAACCAGTTTCTATTTGTACAATGCTATCACTGGATAAAGTTAGTTGAGTCAACATTGCAAGCTATTGTATGCTGAGGTTAATGAAGATCACTCTGTGTTCTACCTTGTGAAACCTCCTTTTTATGAAATAGTTTCTGACTAAAATTTTGAATATCAAAATACAAGTGATCTAACCTAGGGTTGTTCAAAATGAGTTATATACTCGCATATATGCCGAGTTGAAACTAAAAATAAATTTGCCAAAGTAAGGGGGGTCGGCCTATACGTGCATAACTCTGATCGCACTGATTCTCCTCTACAACCATTTGTTGTGATAGGTGCAGTGTGTTATAATTTGTAGGGTCAGCTTTTATCATATTCAAATTTTTATGAATTCACCGTTCTAGTGGATAGGCTTGAATGCGGGAATATACAATATTCATTTTCTTTTATTAGGAGCTCACAATTTCATTAATAATTTTTTCTTTAAAGAATTATTATTTCGAGAAATTGAAGTTTGACAGTAAGATCAAAAATGCCTTTGTTTAATTTCCAAAAAAATAGAATTAATTCATCATCTTGACTTTTCATCTATATTTAAAAAACAACAACAAGAAGTTCTTTATTTAATTTATGAAAACCGTAATGTTAAAATCATCGTTCATCGTATCATCATTAAAATCATCCTTTTTTGTTTATCATGTCTACTTACTCACTCAGAATGTAAAAAATTGAGCGGGTAGTGTCAAAAATAGCACAATGTTACACATTAATAATGGTACACATTAAAATCTTTCAAAAAAAAGTATCGTGTCAGATTCCTATAGCTATATTTTGTTTTCATTTTCAAACGAGAAATATTTCAGTTCTTTTTAAAATTAGTAGATTTTAAACCATTGGTGGCTGTTTGTGCACAGCCTTTTAGTAGAAAATTATTTCAAAATGAAGTATTGTGTTAGCTTCCCTTGGTTACCCTTTTCCTAACTAAAGAGATTTTGATTCTTCTGAAACTAGTACATTTTAAAACACTGATCTTATGCAGAACTTTCTTTCAATGGAAGGTAGGAAATTACCTCATAAAAAGTTACGTGTGAGCTTTTCATGCTTTATCTACTTTCTATTTGTTTGTTTCTCTTTGTGTGGGCGTAGGGATTAAATTTAGAATGAATGGGACAAAGTTTGTTTTCTGCGGAATCAATGGTGGGTCATGTTCACGATTTTATAACTACTTTCAATTTGGAAGTTTATTTTTCTATTTTTGGGATGCAAACATGATAACTAACTTGAAGCGTCAGCTGAGAATTTAAATTCAACCACCTAACTATGATTCAAACTGATGGACTAAAAATTTAGGTCCAATGAATTAAATACCATTTGTGCTTATTCGAGCATAAATACAGTGTTTTATTGTGTATTACAATACAGTGTATTATTAAGTCTCTTTTCTGTTATCACCTCAATATTGTTGGATATATTTTTGAAATTGTATTGGGACTTTAGAGAATAAGTCTTTATTACGAGAATATCGGTCAGAGACCGAAGACTCATCGATCGAAAGTTATGGGATCCCCCAAAACAGCGCTCTTACTCCATAGTGACACCTTGTGTCCCATCACTAATTAATTAATAACTCGCTAATTATACAACATATTTCGCCCAAAATCAATAAGCTTCTGGTCCGAGATATGATGAATGCACATGCAAAATCTGGAGCAGATTCTATCTCGCTTTCGTGAGATATCGCGTGCATCTAATAGACAGACAGACAAATACCTATCAACATACTTACCGATTAAAATCGATAAGTAATGATATAATTTTTTGAAATTGTAACTTTGTGGCCACCCTGTATAAGTAGACCAATTAGGTATGAAATATAAGGCAAATTGAATTTGTTTTTATTCCTCCTTGAGTCCTTGGTTATTAAATTTTCAAGCAAAATGTCAAACCAATTATTAGTCTTTTTCGCAGTCACAACCATGTGGTTATTAAAAATTTTGAGTGGACGTATGTAAAGACTAGCGTCACACTTCTTACCAAGTCCTCCTGATCGTGGATGATAAATTTATATAAATGGCAATCAAAAATAGCATTGCCAATTCTGCCATTAGATACAAAAACAAAAATAAAATTCACTGACTAATTGGTGTTTGAAATAAACAAGATTTGTCTTTAGCATAAATTTCTTTGGCTTTGTCGAAGATTGCCAGTATGACTAATGGCAGATGAAGGCAATAAATTTGTTTGTATTCTTCTCTGGCAAATGGATCATCAAGCAAAATGTCAAACCAATTGATAAGCCTTTACATCGCCAATTCTATCAAGCCTCGCTAATCCTGGATGATAAATTTATACAAGGCCATCAAAAATAGCGTTACTAGTTCTGCAAAGAGATACAAAATCAAAAAATAAAACTCACTAATTGTGGTGAAAATAAACAATATTTGTCTTCAATACTTTTTTTTTGACTTCGTCGAAGATTGCCAATAAGATTGAATTTAATAGGCAAGCGAAACGCATTTGTTTTTAATTCTCCCCGGTGATTAAATCTTGAGAAAAATGCCAAACCAATTAGTCAGCCTCATTTTGGCCTCAACTATTTGAATATTGGGATGATTTTATCCGAGCAAATGCAAATACTAATCATTAAAGTGAGTGTTGGATTATTTTTTCCAGCTTCCTTAATCTTGGATAATAAATTCATATAGGGCTAACAAAATAGCAATTCCATTTCCGTTGTTTATAAAAAAAACAAAAATAGAAATCACCAACTGAATTGTTGGTTGAGATCTTATTCTTTTATTTTGATAGACGCATTTTAGTGTTCAACCATTGCTTCACTTAGGAGTCATTTTTAAAAAATTCTGATTGAGTTCTCGTAACCTTTTTTGAGCAAATTTATTGAAAACATCTGAAGACAAGTACCCATTGCTTTGCCTAGGGGGGATCTACTTTAAGTTCTGTTTGGATTTTCGTAACATTTTTGGAGAAGTTTTACTAGAAGTACAGATTGATAAAATTTGCTATCATGCTTGTTGCTAGGGATGTAGCTTAGGTTTCTGAGGGACTAACTACTTATCCTCCTTCTACTCTTTTGGGACTGTGCAGCTGTATGCATATATAATGCAAGAATGAAGATACTCATCCTAAGTGATTCAAGAGTTTTGCTGCGTACCACCACAAACATATTTAGGAACTTTTGGTCAAACGTATGTCTGAGAAAGTAGCAATAGAGAAGATGAATTTACTGATCAAATATTAGAGTATTGCCGCATACTAACACAAATATAATTTTTCTAACTCTTTATCTGACTAAAGGCTATTCAGCAATACTGGTTTAATAAAGCTTAAAACAATGCTTACTTGGCCATACTATTAGATTCTATTTGCTCAATTTATAAATTATCCAGAAAATGGACAATTTGAAAAAATTTGATATGGCCATAATTATGTTTATATTAATTAAAATCCAAGTGAAGAATTATAAAAAATTTTCCTTGATTATTGATTAAACTGACGTAAATACAGACGATATGTCAACACTTAACTTGATCAAATAAACAGTATTTGCAAAATTAGTGAATTTCTTTATTTATCATCCAATATGGGCTGATAATAACAAGCAGACAATCGATAAAAATAGCTCTGATAATTTATTGACAGGGAACAAACATGATAATATTCTATTAAATGCATTCAGAAATAATATTTTTCAATCTGTAATAACCAATATATTGTAAATTGAATTAGACCAGTAACACTCATATTTTATCTTATGGTAACAAGTAGTTATTGAGAAACAGTTACATGTTCACTCTCAAAATTGAATTAGCTTAAGTAACAATATTGAATTGGGTCAGCTCAGTAACATCTACATTGTGATTTATGATAGTAGACATGTAGTTCTTTAAAACCACCTGCATGTTCAATATCAACATAAAAGTCAAAATTAAAAATGTCTCCCTCTACTAAATTTTTCAATTGATTTACTTATACTAGGAATGGTATGACAAAATTGAATTACAAAATTTTACAATTTCAAGAAAGAATATTTTTGCATATGAGAATACATATATGTAAATTAAATCAGGCCAAGTACATCAAACATGTTCATCATCAACATGACGGCCAGATAATAAATACAGCTGTTTTTATTTTTCAAGGGTTTCGTTCTTGTTAGTTTCAAGACTGTTATTTTTCATCATTGAAGTTAACTAGGGTTTCCCCATCTGGGGTTTATGGCCCAATGAATCTACAGAAAGTATGGCAATTTAAAGGTTCAGCATCATATTATATTAAAATGAAAAACATCACTATGACGTGCTGACGGCCATTCTCTGCCTCATCTATGATTAATTTTAAATGGTTTTGTTTTTGTCAAATTCAAAACTGTTATTTTTAATTGAAGACTGAACATTGCTGTGGTCAGTATTCTCTAGTGTAGAAAGTAACTTCATTTTGTCGACTGTCAGATGTCACATGCTCAAAATGACAATTTTCTGAATTAAATAGCAAAAATATATTGTATCGAATAAACCCAATTTTAATTGCATTTAAATATTCGATTTGTTTTGGCATCCCTTCTTGTGACCTTTAAAATAATAAACTGTGTTTGGTTATGTTAGTGAATAATGCACATACATCAGTTACCAACGTTAGGTCGACTCATTTCCTCAATGCGTTAGAAAAGCTTTACTGTGTACTGTGACTCACGCTATAACCTAGTCATCTGTATTGCGGTGCATTATAGGGTATATCTGGTATGGATGGACTCAATTAATATAGAATTCCTGAATGAATGTCATATATATTGTGAGAAATGTTTTCAAATAAATGCATATTTGAACAAAATTGTCAAAAGTTAAGTCAAAATCACAGTAACATTGTTTTACTATGCAATTCAAGAGTCCTGCCGAACACTAAAACAGTACACTCTAAAATACATCTGTGGTATTGTGCAGCAGACCTATTAAATTTTATAATATGGTCTCATTTATCCCAAAAGTCAGGACCATCATTCAAAAATTATTAATTGATCGAACAAGATCTAATATATCAATGGGCGTGGTGAAACCTCAGCAAACTAAGTTTATTTGTATCAAAGATAAATAAAGCACAACCGGTGTATAGCAAAACGATATAATTTGCCAACGTTTTAAATTTCTATTCAGAAAAACTTCATCAGGGTATGATATGATGGAGTACACTATCGTATATAAATAGTGTACTCTTCATATCATGCCCTGATGGAGTTTTTCTGAATAGAAATTCGAAACGTCGGCAAATTATATCGTTTTGCTATACACCGGTTGTGCTTTATTTATCTTTGACATGAATATACCTGGTGGCAATCATGCGCTAAGTTTATTTGTATTTAACACATGTGCAATGAACCATGCAGTCACAGTTTGTTACATCACAATAGGATAAAAATAATTGGCACCTGTGTAGATACTTTGGTTCTTTGGAGATAAATTTAATGATCCAGATAATGCATAAGTTTTGATTTACTTTACAAATATATGGTAAAATAACAAAATGGTTAATAGTAAGACTGAAAACTGGAATACTCGATGAAATATCTGGGGATTACACAGCAATCGGTCCCTACTAAGCTTGATGAGGTTAATGCGTTCAAAATCAGTAAGAAGCAAGGGTACTTCCGTAGTATCTAAACCAAGATGGCGGACACTGGAATGTAGTATGTGTACCAGGCTAGGGTTAGGCCATAATTTCAGGTACAATGACCACTTGGCTAGTCCCCGAACTCTTAGTAGAACTAAAATAAGAAAAATTGAAATAAAATTATGGCCTCTAACCTGGTACACATACTACGTTTCGGTGTCCTCCATCTTGGATCACATACTACAGGCGTATCGAAGCGAACGATAGCAAAGAGAAACTTGCAGTTTGTTACAAAATGTCTTTGGTATCTGTCATCGGTTCCACTCTAGATGGCATGAATAATGTAAAATTAAATAGAAACTGAACAGGGAATGGAGGACTTGCAAACTTATTACACCAACTGTTCCCAAAGATTTAGATGCTACTTGCCGGAATTTCGCAAGCTGCAGTTTATTTATCTGTTGAATCGATTTTAGCAAACATGAGTGATTTTTTTAGCATTTCAAAGACTTGACCTTCTGGCTTTATTCTTTATGCTTGCATGTTTACAAATTTTGAAAGGTATGAAGTACACATTAGCGATCACAAAATTGGGTTTTATTTGAAAACAGTTTTTTTGTGCAAGTACTTCGTGAGTTTTTCCCAGATAATTTGTCGTCACTCGAACAAAAAGTTTGCGAACCGCTATATTACACAATATTCTAGTGCCCTCTGTCATCAAATGCTGGCTTGATCATAAAAGCGACCGAAATTTGACTTTTTTCTCCGTTATGCAAATTTGAGTTGTCTTTTTTTTATTTTAGTTGGATCTCAAGCCAGAAGGAAGACTACTGGTTCAAGTGAAGCTATTCGTAGAGCAAGAAGGTGAGTTCTGGAGTATTTTAGATTATCTAATTATCTAGGAGTAGATCTTTTGAGTTGTGCGTTTTTTTTCTGTTTTATGTTAATCTATGTAAGAATGCGCTCTCGATTTGATGACTTTGTCATGCAAAATAGAGTAGTTGTGGGAGCAAAGATACGGCTCAATGTTGGAGCAATCTTTCTTTTTCTATTCCTGTTATATATTGAACTTTTTGCAAAATGCCTTTTTTGTATGGTAGATAAGGTGACTCTAACTTGCTAGTTTCAAATGAGTTGGCTGTGCAATTTTAAGGTTCTTGAAAGATTCTTATGTATTTTGTTTGTTCAATTCGGGTTATTAGTTTGTTTTATGGGATTAAAAAACATGTCATTTCCCATAGTCGAGTTCTTGAAAATTTGATCAAATTAAATCATTTACTGATCGAGTAAATCGAGCATTGAGTAAAATATATATTGAATCAGGATAGTTATTTTAAGTATCCTAATGAAGCACTGCAATGAATACATCATTGCCTGAGGCATTTTCGCTTGGACCTAATGTAAATAAAAGTTAAATGTTTATATAGGCCTAACTTCAATAGAGCACAAGGGTTAGAGCACAATTAATCTTAACCTACACATCATTTCATTAATATAAACTATTCTAGATGTCTTGCAACTGGAATTTAGATAGACAAATTTAAAAATAGCTCATATTAAAGGTGTTTTCACTGAAATTATGTTTTTTTATTATCCAGTTTTTTCAAGTATAGTACACAACCTAATCACTGTGACATTGTTAGAAAACATCAGTAAAATCAACTGAGATTTTAATGCGAGAACATAAAGCACAAATTTTCAACAGCACTTATACTCCTAACAAGGCATCATGCAACCAAACTCTGATATGTGAGAAGCCAAGGAAGATTTGCATGAGATTTGAAATGTAACCTGCCATACCAATAATCAATATAGTAACATAATACCAAATAACAGTTTTAATGATGCCTCGCTATATTAAATCAATTATTTACAGTTACCACGGGGCAAGGATTATGAAATTTTTCAAATTTTTTGTCTATTACTAGTATTGGTGCAGGAAAAATGCGAGCGTACAATATGGCACACAGTTACATTTAGAAAAACACAACAATAAATTTTTGTTGTTGTCTGAAATGCTGACAATGCCCAAGAGATGACATTACGGTACTTCAAATCTCATCGCAAATTAAGGTTCATGGCCCTCAAAAGAACTGCTTCATGGCCCCCAGGGTTCCCATGGCTCCTGGTTGAGAATTCGGTACTCCCGTAGCATGTGAACCACATTAGGGTTAGAGCATAATTTTATTCCGATTTTCTTAATTTTAGTTCTATTACGAGTTTGGGGACTGTCTTTGTTAGCCAAGTAAATATACCCCAACCCATAGGTTTCAGTCCTTTTACACAGCTTGATGTACAAAATTAGTTACCTCCATAGCGGTACACACACTTCTGAACCGCCAAGAATTCTTCTTTTTTATCTATATATTTGTATCACATGAATCATCTTCATATCGTTGTGATGTAAAATCAATATTAAACGGCCATAATTCATTTAGTATTGACAAGTAAGCCTAATCGATCAATAACTAAATCTAATTATAATGTTTGTAGGATTGAATAAACGTGAGAAATCAATAACTTTGCCTTTGTTCTATGAATTGTAATAGATTAAATGCCATTGCTTAAAAAGATACATTCATAAAAGGTTCCCCTGTTTATCGATTTTATAATCCTGATTCATATGACTAATATTATTATGGGAATGTGCAACGGCCTAACAGGTAAAGCATTGGACCTAACTGTGCTGGCATGCCATGTTGCACATCCCAGGTTCAAATCCCACTCCCACAACCTCACCCAAGGTATAATAATTTGGGTAGGCTTACTTACATACTCCTCACGTTTGTTAGATACCAGTGGCTGCTTGTACAGGGTGAGTGAAAGGCCTGAATAAGCATGATATATATAAAAAAAAAACTGGAGTCATGATATTTAGGCAAAATTTTTGCTGTTCTGTTTTATTTTAATTAAAAGGGAACACTTTTTTATTCAGTGTTGCCCAACCCCTTGTGTATAGTTTAGCTCAGTGATTCCCAAAGTGGGCGATATCGCCCCCCAGTGGGCGAAAACGATACAGAGGGGGGCGAAAAAGTCTAAGGGGGCGATAGGGGGGCGATTTTGCGAAACCTGTTTTATGTTCGGCGCACTTAATTCTGTACTCTGTGTGCATTCGCAGGCTTGAATCACGTGGGCGATTATCACACGCGAAAGGATTTCTGGTCTCGTCTTCGCAGTAAGGCAAGGTAGTTTGCGTATCCCAGTGGTCGGCAAAATACGGCCGGAATATAATAATCTGGCCCGGGACGATTCACTGAATGGACCTTTCCCCGACCTTTGACCGCGGAAAATTCTTCCCATACTTTACCATTTTAAAATTTTCGGTGCTTATTTTAAGAGTGGTTTCGCGAGTTGTTGCCTGTAAAATGGGGTATTTGTTTCAAACTATCATTCTAATACACACCATTTAACAATCTGTTTTTTAAAAGTACCGATAAAGAATTTTAGCCTAGTCTATCACAGCTATTTCTACACTAATTTTTGATTGCTGTATTTAAACTGAAACTCATAGAAAGACAAAGTAATCATTGACTTATTTGATTTATATTCAAATTTCCGAAAAACAACTAAAAACTAACGAATATAATTCAAAAACGCGAAAATGAGGTAATGTTCACGACCACGCCTGAAAATCTGTCTGAGTGAGAGTGTCTGAGCGGATGCGAAGGGGGGCATTGTTACGTTTTTTGCATCTTGCTGATTGGCCAATGTCACGAAGTAAACAAGGAAGTCTATGCCCGGGGAAATATCCAAACGGCGGTTTTGACGATGAAATTTTTTTATTTATAATCTACGCTCGAGGAGTAAATTACATTTTTTACGTAACAGAATTTATCGTGAGACACGTTTATACTGAATTATACTATATCCTAACAATTTAGTGAACAGCCACTCGTTTAACGAGCCTACAATTTAATTATAATTAGACAAATGGAAACACGCAGAAAAGTTGATGCTGAGTGCAGGGGTTCAATAGCGCAGTAAATATTCGAATATATTGCAAAGCAATAAGGAAATAAAATTTATATCCTACTCGAGAGATTGATCACTGCTTAATTTTTGTAAGAATGTATCTTCTTAAAGAAAATATTTATCAAAATTTCACAAATCATGCGGAAATATTCACTTCGATGTTTGGAAGTACGTATTTGTGCAAACCATTATTTTCGAAAATGAACATTACAAAGAACAAGCAAAGAAGTGGGTTTGGTGATGCCCATTTAGAAAATGTTTCAATCTTGGCGTCGTAAAGCTATCCAGCGTGATGCAGCAACAAGACAGTGTCACATTAAATGTCTAATATTTTTTAATAAGACGACTGAGTTGACGAATTGTCGCAGTTTTTGCGCGCTGTTCCGTTTTTAACTTTCAAAAAATATATGCGACCCGCAAAATACTAGCAACCCTGAATTTTGTCCTGCGAGCGACATAAAATTTGCCGACCCCTGGGCCGTAGCCGATAGTCAGTCACGGCTTCTTCCACATCCGAGTCATGAATCCAAAAACAAATGGCTGGTTAATTATGGACTGGTGATCGGACTGGAGGCCGTGATAGGATGAGGAATCGGGGATGAATTTTTCCGAAGTTTTTTGGTGCAGGTCATCAGGCTGTACGAATGAATGAGATGTACGAAAATCATTATTATAAGTTTGGGAAAATTAACTTTGTTTTATTTTTTAATGTGAAATGGGGTGAATTTAGGAAGTGAAATGCTATAAGGCAAGAGTACACGGCGGTTTTTGAGGAGGTAGAACCCTGGATTCTTTCATTTCCGACCTATTATATGGTAAAAAGGGGTTTTCAGCCGTGCTACTATTGCTATTAAAACAACGAAATCACCTTTCCATCAGTAAACGGGGTAATTTTAGATATAATAAAAAACTCGCTGAAGAACACCAAGCTCATCTATCTCATTAAAAAACACTATAAACTATGATTTGTCTTCTTATTTGGTACGTAATATATTCGTTTCTGACTTTATATTTTTTTGTAGTACAGGGGGGCGATGAAGTTGTATAAACTACTTTAGGGGGGCGATGGTCAAAAAAGTTTGGGAACCACTGGTTTAGCTTGTCTGCTTCTGTTTTTAGTAAACTGTCTATTTTCAGGTTTTACTGTGCCAAGTGCATCCTTTGTGACTAAATATTTGAGCATTGCTCTGTTATCAAATCATTCATTCAAAAAAATTTGCTCCAAAGAAAGTTTTGATTTAGGTTTCGTATTAATTGACATCTGATAACAGGCTTGACAAAGAATTGAGAAATGTTACCGGTCATTTGCCACTTTATATTAATATGTTTTTATATACAACATACTTATATGCCTTTTCCTTCAAACAAGACTAAATTTCTACCATAGTTTAGAACAGTGGTTCTCAAACCTTGGCTCGTGGGACAGTTACGGCCCGTGCAATGATTTAATATGGCCCGTCGATCTTAAGTGAAATAGTTTAATACTTCATGTATTTTACCTCTTTGCGCTCTGGATACCGCCAATTGTTACATCATTGTCACAGTTTAAGCATGTTTTTATTTGTCGTACAAATTCCATTATTAACCCTTTTTTTCCGCTGTATACAATCGACTTTATGTACCATTTTATAATATGTAATGACCAGTTAACCAAACGTACAAGGAACACCCCAATATCTCTTTAAAAAGCTTATTTTCGCGTCTTCTACTAAAACGCGCCCAAGTGACGTAGGCGAAACGTTCGACCTACGCGTGTAGAAGAGAGAAATTTCAAAAATTTTTGAGAGAACGTTTCACACTCTTATCGCTACGATGAACACGTGTTACAAAGAAACGAAATTCCAAGCGCTCTTCTGAAAGAGAGTTACGTCACTTTGAAGAAAAACCAGACT